TTTACAGATCAATCTGAATCCCAAAAATATTTTAACATTAATTGAAAAAAAATGACTTTAAGAAGTCAAATTAATTTTAGGTAATGAACTAAATGAATTTCCTTTTATAGATCAATTTTAATCTCAAAAATATTTTAAAATTAATTAAAAAAATTGCCCTATGAAGTCAAATTAATTTTAGGTAATGAACTAAATGAATTTCCTTTTATAGATCAATTTTAATCTCAAAAATATTTTAACATTAATTTTAAAAAATTGATCCTATGAGGTGTTTAAAATTTAGTAACTGCAAAATGTATTAATATTCCGAGTGTCGCTTTTAATTTTAATATGTGAACTTTATTCAATAAATGCTCGCTACTGTATAAAGCATGAAGAATGATCAGCAATCTTCGCTAAAAAACACATAAGAATTCTTTCAAATAGTTTCATGATTTTTTTTTTCTTTTCCAAAAAAGCTTGGTAGGAACTATTTTTCATTTTATAGCGATAAGGATAAAAAAAAATAAAAAAAATTCTTTAAGCGGCGGGAAGACTACTTTGATTTTCCTGCCTTTTACAAACGAGTAATGTTTTATGAGATAGATAACTTTTTCTTTCCATCTTGAGTTTCGCTCTTTCTGCTGAATTTAAGCGGGGAAAAAATGAGAAAAAAAGAATAAATTGGTGGCAATATGGGTGGGAAAACCAAGTTCCCTAACAACTTCTGTGTCTTGCTAATGCTATTTTCATTTCTTTTGAAAAGTGATAATGTGTGCAAGGCAAGACGTTCTGCTTTCAGGATTCAAACGCTTTATTGGAGTTGACAGCCATTCGATTTCGATATATTTCTGAGTCTAATTCAGAAAGTGCTTTCACTGTCTTTGACTGATTACATGCTTTTTACAGAAGGTTATTTTAAATAGATGATATAACATCTTGCCGACGTTCTCGGTTAAGATCATGTGTAATACGAATGGACAGCTTGAAATGTGATAAGCATTTGAAATGAGCATATGCTTTTTATGTTTTTTTTTCACAGCTATAAAATATTACAGATATTTTTCGAGGGAATTCATTTATTCCAAAAAACGAGATTTTAAGCTAATGTAGTATTAAAAAAATTTAAGCTTGTAAAAAACAAAATTTTAACTGAGTAAATCGGAAAGAAGCCTATTAAAATAAAATCATTTATTTAAAATAAAATTCTTTAATAAGCATGTAATACGGAAGGTTGTTTAAAATAGATTATATATATTTTTGCCGACCTATTGGGTTAAGATCATGTATAACAGCAACTGAAATATGATACGAATTTGATATAAGCATATGCCTTCTTCTTCTTTTTTTTTTTTACAAAAATATAATAAGACTTTTTCGAGTTAATTATTTTTCGAACCGAAAACAAAATTTTAAACTAATAAAGGCTATAAAAATTTAAACTTGTGTTTCACAAAAACTTAACCAAATAAATCAGAAAGCAGTTAAGTCATCTATTAAAAATAGTTATGTATTAAGCCCGTATGATCTACTATGGGTCGTAATGGCTAAAACTGTTATTGTAAGGGATTGGGGTTCGATCCTCAGTAACAGATTGTACACTAAGTAGCTTCAGATCAATGGGTGCCCACTTGTTTAGGGAGTAAAGGTGGCTTGTGCGCAGAGCTGACCACATCGCTACAATCATACCATCGGTCACGAAATTGTAAAGTCTAAACCTCCTTTATCCTCCTGGCTCATAACGGGCTGTAGCGAAATAACCTTAGTTAACCTATAAGTGCCTAATACAGAAGGTGATATCAATTCTTGCAGATGAACTAGATTATAATATGAAATGAATCAAGACTGCTTTACTTGCATTTGCCTGTTGCAAATTATTTGCAATAAAAGTTTAACTTCCTTGGCAATAATTATGGTACTAATTAAAAAAATTAAATTTTATTCAACTGTTTTAGATTTTAATAGGGTCTTAACATCTACACTAAAAACTTTTCTAGCATAAAAAAATTTGCACTTGGAAAACATATAAAAATATAATATTTTATAACTATTTATTATTTTTCGGCAATTTATTAACAATTATTTAAACATTTTTTGTATCATAATGTAAACTAATTTTTATTTCATTTCAAAAAAGTAATATTTAACTCTAAACAACAAAATTTGAACAAAATCTGCCCAACAGTTTCTTAGTAATAAAATTTCAAAATTTCAAAAAATTCGTATTTTCGGATTTTTATGTCTCAACAACTCGACTGATTTTGTTAAAAGTTTTAGTTTTGTTATTAAAATTGACACAGTTTAAAATAATTTAAAAATATATTTGCCTTACAATTTGAAACCTTCTCGTCTATTATTAATTCAACCAACAAATGAAAAAAAATATTGTAATTTTTTAATTATATTAAGCTTTTGTTGAATAAATTAGTTTCACAATTGTGTGCAAAAGTACGCAAAAAGAAAACTACAAAATACGCAGAAAATCAAATGGACATAAATGGTTCAAGCTTTCAATAGACCTCTTAACTAAACTATCGTAGCCATAATTTACAAAATTTCAGCTCCTTCCACTGAGAAAAAAATATGATCAAAACTACCAAAATATGGTCAAATTTGTCGTATTTCTAGCTGTATGGAAATACTAAAAAGTATGGTAATTTTTTCCTAAGTGCTTCGACTTTTGTTGAAATCAACAATAAAATATAGTTTTATAATCAGTGATTTGGTAAATGTGGTAAAATTTGGTAATTTTATCATGATACCATAGAGCATGGCATAAAATAAACTTTCGGTTAAATTCACTTTTCAGTTTTGCATATTTTATTAAGCGTGCGGTAATACGAACTATAATTTTGAAAACAAGAATATCAGCTAAACTGCACATGAACGGAAATATTACCAAGTGAATGGTTTAAATATCGTATATTTTTGTTTTATAGTTCAGAATTGTGCTTATTTTTTAGCAGAAATTTTCTGATTATACAGTTCAGTAATTTTACCGGAATTTTTTTCTCCGTGTTCCCTTTCTTAAGAAAAAAAATCCATATCGTTCAAAAGAAGGAAAGCTTATTCAGATTTACATACGTTTTTATGTCTAATTTCGCAGCTTCAAATTTCGCTTTAATAAATTAATTAGCACATTAAGGTTAAACCTTCGAATCATTAATACTGTATCCAAGTAAGTGAAAATCTGATCACTAAAGCAAAAGTTATGAAGGTGCTCTCTTTTAATTTATAAAATCTCATAAGCTATCATTTATCATGTTTTTTTTAAATAAAATATTAATCTTAAATATCTTAGTTGTAATCTCTAATAAAAAGAATCTTCATCTTAGTTGTAATCTCTATGGCTCAAAAAACTTGCTTAAATTAAGCTATTTAATTAGTGCTGTTTAATAAATAAAGAAATTAAAATCGGTTGCTGTCTTTTAGACATAAATGGATGAATTAAAATTCTTCACATCATTTATAAAACTTGTTAATACCAAATGTACTTGTTAATACATACCAAAGATAACTTAATTCAAAAATCCCCTTTACTAATTATTTATTAACTTTTAATATTTATTTTAATAATGACTTAAAATATTAGTAATCGTAATGTTTATTTTACACTAATTACCGATTATTAAATACTTGATAAATTAATTAGTTTCTTAGGAATTCGCATTATTATAATTTTTTTTTAATTTCTCATGAACTATTTTACGAATTTCGCTCAAATTTTAGCAGTTGTAATAACATTGCTTAAGATGATGCAAATGATAGCATACCTTATAATTTATATTTCTTGAAAAAATTAAAGAATAAATTCTTGTAGGTAATTTTTTGGAGAAAAGTATCCCTCGATAACCGGATTTATTTACGGAAGCGAAGATATTTTTATTTGTCCAAATAGTTTCAAAATATGGGGAAATATACAAAAAATTAAGCATACCAAAAATGTAAATTTTTCGGAAAATTGACATATTTACTTTGTGAAAGTACGTTTTTGTGTCCGATTTCAGGACTTAAATGATCGCCTGTATTTATTAATTAATGCATTTTAGGCACTGCTCACAGCATAAAGATTGCATTTTTGCACAAATCTTAAGATTACTAGATCAAAAATTACTTAAGATGTAATGTTTCTAATTTTGCGCATTACACACTAATAGCCTCTGTTAGGGAATTTGCAGAGCAATGTAGGTCATTGATGTGAAGCCTAAATCATCTCTTAGGCATTTTCAAAAGCATTTAATTTTTGTAGAAAATTGAAACAAATATTAGAATAAATGTTACAAATTACTTTGGTGTTTAAAATTTTAAATTAAAACACCTTTGAATGCGTAATTATAACCGTTTATTTTATTTACTTTTAATTTAAAATAAGATTTTTAATATTATTTTACCAAATTTTATTTTACCATGATATTTGACCACTGCACCTGAAATAAAATTATGAAGTATATGTAATATTGAGAATTAAGATAAGTAGATAAGCTCATAATTCTTACGGAACACATATACTAATTATGTCGAACAATGGAGAGCGATAAATATCATGTATTAATGTAATGTAAAGCATTTCAGTAAATAAAGAATGCAATGAAGGAAATTTATGCATTTAACTTTTAAGCATCGATGAAATTAAAATTTGGGCAATATTATTTAGCTGACTTTTAATAGAATTTGTTTTATTTATTATTATTTTTACAATCCCCCATTTATAACTTATGTTTAAAACTTAATAGTTTTCAGAAAACACATCAGTTAATTCGAGAAAAATTTATCTGTTTTATATTAAAAGCACAAGTAACATAAAATTAGCTTTCAAGATAAAAAAAAAATTTAATCACATTAATCTGCGAAAAAAATACAATCATGTTAAAAATACAAAAACCCCTATAGCTTTTCGAAGAAAAAAAATAATAAAACGGTGTCATAGTTCTACTACGCTCCAGTGGTTGAAGTCCCTCTCCCCCTCATCCACGATTAGCGCATCCCTCCTTCGAAAGACCACGTGTTTGGGAAAGCCTCTCGCACTAATTCCATTCCATCTTCTACTCAGAGCAGACGGTTTCTTATCCCTCCATCCCCAAGCAACCACCGCATGCAGCTCCCTCTTCAACCCCCATCAAACTAAATCAGCTCATACAAAACAATGAATCTTTATATTTTCATTTATATCTGGCTTATGGTTTTCTTCAATTTTTTTGCCGAAGAATTTCCCGTTAACGAAAGCAATATAGTTCACATAAATTCTGGGATCGCTGTCCCTTTCGGGCGATCTGTGTTTGTCGATCCAGAGTTGGATCTCAACATTCGCGTCCTGCCAGGGGATCGTTGTACAGTAAGGGTTATACAAAACGATCCTTTATCCCAGAGACCTGGAAAACTGACCCCAACAAACTTTCCGTGCCAGTTTGGAAGAGATGACGTCCAGTACTCTCACTATGGTGCTCGTAGTCCACCTCAGGACAAAGTGAAATTGATGGTTCGTTATGATTCATCAGATGATACATTGATAATTCCAGTGGTTGTTAACGTTCAAGTCATGTTTGATCAGTTGGAGATCGTAACGAAGAATATACCTTTGAGTGTTGATAAACTTGGGGGTATGAGCAATCCCATAGATAATAAGGTGTTACAGTTTACATACGACAGGACTGGTCAGATATGCAAAGTGATGATTTTAACTGCTGCCAGTGGATTACCATCTTATGGAGAGCTTATAAATAATCCTTATGAAGATTTGATGCTGGATTGTGATGCTTTATTGAAGTCTGACATAAGGTATATTTCATATTTCTTTCTTCTTCTTTTTTTTTAAAAACATAAAATTAGATTTAAAACTAATTATGTATGGACAGCTGTAAAATTATTACGAAATCAATATTTGTTAAAACAAATTGCATTTCACTAATTATATGATTATTATGAAATTAAGATTTCTAAAATTAAATTGCATTTCACTAGCAATAAAATTTTTATGAAATCAAGATTTCTGAAATTGATCTGCAACTTACTAACACTTAACTAATTATGAATTTAAGCTTTCTGAAATTAAATAGCATTTCACTGAAAGGATAGTTTAAAATTTTTGAAAATGAAGTCTAATTTTCTTAGTCTCTTATAGTCTTATTATTTTAGTTAGTTAGCTAAAGTTTTCAGAAAAATTATTCGAAAAGGATAAGCATGTTTCTTAAACCAAAAATATTTTTATTAGCTTCTAATTTTCAAAATTTTTTTTACATGTATAAAACTCTTTAATCGCATTTAAAAAGTTATGTCCCCATATAAATATTAATTAACAGTATCAATAATAAATCAACGATGAAATTTTTATTTCCTATATGAAGATTCCACATAACCAATTATACTTAACTAATTATAATTTAATTTGTAATATTGAATGTTTCCTTAAGTGAGATATTTTATGAGACATTTTATTAATTTGTAACATTGAATGAAATTTGTTAATAAACGAAAATTTTTTATCTGGATGATTATCAGTTTTCATTAGGGTTTCGCCAATAACATGCAATCATCAAACAGAAAAAGAAAGATTTTATTTAATTAATTTGGTATAAAAAAAGATTGATAACTTCCGATAATTTAAATTAAAAGGAAATATATATATAAATAATATGTAAACTAAAATGAAGTCTAATGCTATAAATATGCAGATAAAATGAAAAGTATTTTTTTGAATAGTTTAAAACAAAATATTTATTGAAAGTTTTAGTCTCAAAATAGTATTTGCGAATATTAATGAGTTTTCCAAACTTTTCTATGAACAAAAACAAAAATATTCATTATATAATTAAAATGTGTAATTTATTTAGTTTTGTAACTTTAACTTATTTAGAATATTTCTAATTCACTGATTAACAAGAAAAAAAAACTAATTCCTGAGAGTTAAGGCAATTTATTAAGGTCCATCGTTTGCTTTTTAAACAAAAATCTTTTTGTTAAAATTTCCTACACTGAAAAATTTCGAATCAGATAACGGTAAAAAGTATCGGCACCCTGAGTGCCTGTATTTTATTGTATATTAGATGATTTTTTTCCGGTTACGGAATAAAAAAAATCTGATAATACCGTAATTTTTACAGTAACAGTTACCGTAAAATCACTGAATCACTGTAATTAAATAAATATTACTGTAAAAGTTATAGTATACTATTTTACGGTGAAAATGAATTTTACGGATGATGCATCTAAAGTGCTAGTACCTTAATTCGCGATTTATTCCGGAATTTTTTGCAGTGTTGTAAACACATTTTATACTTAATAAATTTTTTATTCGATACGATGAAAATTTTTGTTTTAACAATTATTGAAGAACGTTAATATAACGTTTAACATTTTTCAAACACGCTATTGTTGTAAAGAAATTTTTTTCCATATAAAGTTTTATAAATGGAGTGCGTATTAAAGGTATAAAATGTGTTAGAAGTGATATAAAAGGTGTTATTGTTATGGTATTACATGTTGATAAAATAGTAAAATTTTACAACAGATTATCGTCACAAAGTAGGGTGAAAGACTTATTCAACTTATTCTTACAGTTTACATGAAATAAAATGTTTAAAAACTTTTTCAAAAGAAAAAAGTATCATATCTCATTGTCAGTTTGCTAGTTATTACTTAATTGGAAAAATTTTGGAATTTTGTTTATTTGGTTGCATTTAACGATACTGGAAATATTTGCATGCCAACTAAATGGAATTCAAATTCATGAACTGTACAGTATGTAAGAAATTATAAAGAATTCTCAACAGAAAAAAATAAATGATTTTCATCAAGTCCAAAAGAGAAGATTCTTTGAGTAGTCATGAATGCATAACTCATTAATTTAATCAATTCTCTGAATAAATTTCAATAAAAAATGGAATAAAACAATTCAATGTAATATTCTATTTAAGTTTCATTCCTCACACATTCAAATGAAAGTAACGATAATAGTAAAAAAAAATTAAAGAAAAAAACAATATTGAGATATTTTTCATTGCAACAAAAGTAATACTGCAATTTTTTCTTGCTGATTCGTAAATATCAGTTTTTAGACCCCTTAAATGAATTGCAGATTACTGAACTATAATTCTTTTACCTTTGTATGCAAACTCAATGTGACCATTTAAATTCCCATTCTTAATATTCATGAAAATTCGTAAAACATAATGCCATTAGACAACAAGTTATCTAATCTACAGTGGCTAGACTATAATGACTTTATTTCAGTCTTTATATTGATACGTATTTATTATAATTATCACTTTTATATTGAGAATATTTTATAAGTTTCTCTATTGTAGAAGTTTGAAATTCATGACAGTAGAAAATAAATAAAATGCTTAATTTGCTTTTCAAAGTGAATTCATATTAAATATAAGATGAAATGTTATAATTTTTTGCACTAAGTCGCGAAAATTTGAAACAAAATAAGTTTTAGACTTATTCAAGCTTAAGCTATTTTATTATTTATGTTTTAAATGCAATAAAACTAGTAAAAATAATATTTTTATACAAATTACAAGTTAATGAAAATGATGAATGATGTGTTAATACATAAAAAAAGTATCTTGTACAATAACTTAAAACTGAAAACTTCTATAATATAACGACGATTTGTAATCCCAAATAATTTTATACAAGTGCTCCCGTTTTGATGCTACTAAAAGTACCTTTCTTAGCATTAAAGCATGCTGGTGCTTGAAGAAGATGCTTTTCGTTGCACTAAAACACACTCATTTATTGTGTTTAATTATTTGTAATGTTTATTATTAATTCTAACACGTCATTTTTATTTGTATATTTATTATTTTGAGTTTAAAAGTTTTATTAAAATTTTTTTATGCTATTTATACTAGAAATTTAAAGAAACTAGAAAATGAAGTTCTGAACATGTCTTAAAATTAAGAAGTTGGTTCTGTTTTATTTGAATTTTAATTAATAATATTTTAGAAGACTTACTGATTTAATTAATTATTGTATAAAAAATCAAAATTTCTTAGAAATACATAAGATATTTATATGAATTCTCCTTGAATTTTTAGATTTATGAATCCAAATGGAGTAATTAACTCCTTTTAAATACTTAACTATCAAATTACTTCAAATTTTCAAATCAGAAGTTTTCGGGATAAATAATTTTTCAAACTATTTCTAAGTGCTCGAGAAATATTTTTGTTTTCAATATACAATAACTTTAAAAACTAAAAGTATTCTTAGAGTGTTTTGTAATCACCACCTAAAATATACATTTTTCGAAAAGGAAATAAAAACTATAACTACATGGCAAAAACATTCTGGTAAAATTATCGTACTGTTTGATAATAACATTTCTAGTTTAAAAAGAAACAATGTAATTTTATTTAATTAAACTAAAATATACGATATTTGAACTAGTTCATTGGTATTCCGTTCATATGCTAATGGTTTATTGGAAATTTAAGTTTTCATAATTATAGTTCTTATTACCACATATTTAGTGAAAAATGAAAAACTAAAAAGTAAATTTAACCGAATAAATAGTTTTTAGGCCATGATTAAAGCAGTGGTTGCCAATTTTTTTCAGTCGCGGAACCTTAAACGATCGAAATTCTTTTGGTGAAATCCTGACTTTTAAAAAGTGTTCATTGGCAGGTGTAAATGTGCACACGTTGAAGAAATGCAAATTAATTCAGAAACATTTAATATGAATGAAAGTTTTTTATTGTTTCATCGAGTTTCATTGTTTCATCAAGTTTTAGAATTACGTTTTATGTCAAGCAGTTTAATTCGCAAGTTCACGGAGGCTACGGTGTTTTGCTATATAAGTAAATTTAGTAGTTGAAATTGAATAAAACAAGTTGAATTATAATTCTTGAAAAATAATTGTCACAAGAAAGTTTATCAAAGAAAACTAATTCTTTATTCTTGAATTCGGTTATTTTATTCTGAATTTCAAAGTTCGATGAGAAATACTGATGCAATAATTTGTAAATTTATTTGGTTTAGGAAGTTATTCAATGTGTTGTTAAAAGAAGAAAAAAAACTATTTTTATATTTTTTAAAATTTCTTATTTCAATTTCATTACAATTTTTCATAAATAATTTTATAAAAGTAACCTCAATATTAAATAAATAAATGGATTATTGATAGGATATAAACCAAATACGGGTTTCAAAAAATTATTGGTTAAAAAAATGTCCTGATACTCACAGAACCTCTGTGACCTTTCCACGGAAAGCTAAGTCTCTGCGTGCAGAGCACCATTTGAGACCCGTTACTTTAAGGTATCATGGTAAAATTAACAAATTTTACCATATTTATTAAATTTTGGAACCCTCATTAATAAGTAAGGAAGAATCAAAAAGGCTAGCATAAACATCAAAAACTGTTTGAATGCCATGGCAAATGGAGAGAAGTTGAAAGGGTATATTCGAATCATCTCCAATCAAAAAGTCCTCCACGAAGGTAAATTCCTCTCAATTCTTGATCCAAGAGTTCCCTTGTCTTCTGAATTGAGTTCAAAATTACAAGGCTACGTAGTTGAACATTAGTAGTCATAAACCCGAAAATTGGGCTGGCTGTTCAACCACGTTTATAAAATAAAATAAAATTTAATCTGGTTTTGCTTTTTTACCTTTCACCAATGATTCGACAGCTTTCAATAGTGATATTTTGTTTCTCTTTGCTTAAATATTAATCCTTTTTCACTTCATTCTAGACAAGTATTCTAAAATTATATATTAAGGGCTGTGATCTCGAAACATATAGAATATTTAGTAATATTTTAATATATATTAACCATTTTTATTTTTTGTTTAGGTATCAACATACATCTCCAAATGAAACTCCCAACAAAGATTTTATTCCCATGGTTGTAGAGCTCACTGATTTGGACGGGAATATGATAACGCAAGAATATTTTCAAATTATGGTTAGAATAAGAGAGGCTGAAGATAATACCCCTCCTCAACTCAGTTTTAGCGCTCTGTTGTTGATGGATGTTAATCAATTTGTCATGACTGCTATTACACCCAACATACTAATTGCTGAAGACTTAGAATCTTCTTCAGAAAAATTAATTTTCAATATAACAAACCCATTGAACTATGGAGAAGGTTCTATTGTATCTACGGATGATCAGAATCTTCCAATCACATCATTCTATCAAAAGGACTTGAATGATTTGAAAATCGCTTACAAACCACCCGCATCTGATTCTGATGTTCGAAGATTTTATCTGGTGGAAATGGAAGTTATTGACACAGATGGTTTGGCATCAGATCCTTTCACATTAACTATTGTTGTCAATCCTATGAACACTTTGGCGCCTCTAGCAACGAGAAACGCTGGTCTTGTTTTATTCGAAGGTCAATCACGCCGCTTGAGCAGCGAGAAGAATTTAGAAATTTCTGACGAGGATAATATCGATGATGTTGTGGTGAGTGTCGCAGGTGGTTTAAAACACGGGAGGTTACTGTTAAATGGAAATCCAGTTAAACATTTTTCTCCAGGGGATTTAGATTCAGGATCTATCGTGTATGATCATGATGGTAGCGACACCTACAGTGACAACATCATCTTCCGCTTAAATGATGGTCAACACCAAGTTGAATTTCTGTTTCCAGTGACTGTGTACCCAGAAGACGATGATGCTCCTATATTGAATGTAAACACGGGATTATCTATCACGCGTGGAGAGGAAATAGAAATCACTCCATTTGTGTTAAGTGCTACTGATATCGACAGTGATGATTCTTCTATCAGGTATGATCTTGTGGATCCCTTTCCAGTAAATGGGCAAATTTTATTAAAACAAGCTGAAATACCAGATGACCCAGAGAATTGGGTTTACGAAGATGGTATATATGAGAAACCAGTTTCATTTTGGACACAACAAGATCTCATAGAAGGAAACATATTTTATCGTCATTCTGGTAACTATATCCCCTCTCCAGTTGTAGAACGCCTTAGATTCAAACTTAGTGATGATAACATTCCACCAAATGAGTCTAATGTTCAAGAATTCGTAATAAGGATCATGCCACTTGACAACACTCCTCCCGAACTCTATCCTGGCACGCCACTTCAAATGACAGTACAAGAATTTCAGCTAACAGATATTACACAGAAATATCTCAGATATTTAGATTCTGATACCAAAGACCGTGATTTGACTATTACCGTTACTGTGAAACCTTTTGATACTGATGTAAATAATCCAATGGAATCAGGCAAATTAGTACTATCGGAAAATCCGGATGTTGAAGTAAGCGAGTTCAACCAAGCTCAAGTAAACCATCACAAAATTGCTTACAAGCCCCCATCTGTGGAATTAGGTATGGTACCGAGGTTAATTCAGTTTCGATTTGATGTGAAGGATAAAGCAGGAAATATTCTCCCCAATCAAGAATTTCTTATTTTACTACAGCCAGTCGATAATAAACCACCAATAATTCATAATAAAGGAATTGAAATAGAAGAAAATGGCTTTGCAATACTAACACCAGATATCTTAGACGTTACAGATGCTGATACTGATCCTAGTTTGCTAACTTTTATAGTTGTACGAACTCCAGAATATGGAAGTATACAAATAGGTTCCTTAGAAATGGCGAATGGTGATTCTTTTACTAAACATGACATTAACAATGGGATTGTGAGTTACGTACACAATGGATTTGAAACAAATGAAGATGAATTTAATTTAGAAGTGACCGATGGAATTCATAATTTACCTATTACTATGCATGTTTCAATCAAAAAGGTTGAAGGTCAAGCTCCAAAATTAGACTTTACACCTTCTGCTCTTAATATTCAAATATTTCTTGAAGAAGGCAGCAGTAAAGCACTAACAAATGACTTAATTAAAGTTTCTGAATCAGACACAGATAGTAAAATGATCACTTTTAATTTGAATGAGTTACCACAATTTGGTTCTATACAAGTAAATGGCTCCATTGTTGAAAGCTTTAAACTAGAGGATCTACAGAGGGAAAGAGTTTTTTATCGCCATAATGGGGAAGAAATTGGATTCATTACGATTATAGATTCCTTTAATTTGTCCGTTTCTCACAAATCTAATAATTGGATGGTTGATGGAAATATCATTGACAGAGTTAATGTCGTAGCTACCATTACCCCCGTTGATAATTCTTCCCCAATGGTAGAAATCGGGGAGCCATTGAAAGTTTTAGAGGGACGAAAAAGCCTAATTACAATTGACCATATAAATGTCACTGACTCAGACACATTAGATGAGGATATAATTTGTGCTGTACAGGATCAACCAAGCCATGGTTACATCGAGAACTTTTCTCCATCTCCAGGATCTGAAAGACACAGAACAGGAATTCCAGTCACTGCATTTTCTGTGTCAGATATAATTCATGACTATATAAGCTACGTTCAAAGTATACATAAGGGTACCGAACCAACCGAAGATAAATTTTCCTTAGTTTGTTCTGATGGATTAAATTCCTCTCCTTTAAATGGAATTCAAATTATTATTGAACCCTCAAATGATGAAGTTCCTGAAATATACATGCGAGAATTCATTGTTATGGAAGGCACTGATTTGATTATTGATCTCCCTATATTAAATGCTTTGGACCTTGATATTCCTAAAGATAAGCTTATATTTTTAATTACTCAAGAACCAGAGCATGGGGTGATTGCTTCCCATATGCCAACTGGAACAGTTAAAGTTAATAATTTTACACTTGAAAGAATTACAAGAGGATCTACAATAGTATACCAACACGATGATAGCGAAACAACCAAAGACAATTTTGAACTGACAGTTACTGACGGAGTACATAATTCTACTAAAACTATCCTAGTTATGGTGATACCAGTGGATGATGAAACACCTCGATTAGCTATTAATGATGGCTTAGAAATTAAACTTGGAGAATCGAAATTAATAACTAATCGTGAATTAAAAGCTGAAGATCTAGATTCAGATGATTCAACCATAACATACGTTGTGAGACAAGTTCCGAAACTCGGGTACATTACCTACTTGGACTTTTCTGGAGAACCCCTTTATAATATAACTCATGGAATGAACTTTACCCAAAGTGATGTTGACAATGAATTAATTTTATATACCCATAATGGACAAGAGGGTGCAAGAGATTTAATAAAGTTTGATGTTACTGACGGTTATAATCCTTATGTGGATCGATATTTTTGGATAACAGTTGAAGGAATCGATACAATTTTCCCCAATGTCATTAATAAAGGAGTTGAACTACCAGAAGGTGGAAAAGTTCTTCTTGATACTGATATTTTAAGCACAACTGATCTTAATAGTGCAGATGAGCTTTTGATGTTTACTGTCACTCGAGCCCCCACAAAAGGTCACTTAGAAAATACTGACTTTCCAGGGATTCCTATTACTTCTTTCACACAACTCGATTTAGCTGGTAGCAAAATATACTATGTTCACACAAGTGATGATGAAATTAAGCTAGATAGCTTTGAGTTCGAAGTAAGTGACGGTTACAATTCTGTTTACAGAACTTTTAGAATTTCAATAAGTGAAATAGACAATAAGAAACCAGTCGTTTATATGACAGCTATTAGGGTTAAAGAAGGAGGTAGAAGATTAATAACACCGTTTGAGCTGAAAGCTGAAGATTCAGATACAAGCAAAGACAAGATAAAATTCACATTAACCCAACCACCAATAAATGGTAAATTAGTGCGTGATGGATCAGGTGTTGTTACAACCTTTACTATGTCAGATATTACTTCCAATTTGATTACCTATTATCATGATGGATCTGAAACTCTAGAAGATTCTTTTTCATTTGTCGTTTCTGATGGAAAGCACATGGAATTTTATTTACATCCAAATACTCTAACACCTCTCAGAATTCCCGTGACTTTTCAAATCGCAGTTGTACCTGTAGATGATGTAGTTCCAAATATAGTTATGAATAGAGGAGCGACATCTGTTGGTTCATTAGAAAATGGAGATATTGGATTCCGCTTCTCCAGTAAAATACTGAGAACTGAAGATAGAGATAGTCCAGTGACAGAGTTGATTTATGTAATAACATCACAACCAAAACACGGAATTCTTATCAATGATTATTTGGGTAATGGAAGTATCTCAAATTTTACTCAAGGTATGCTTATGATTAATAATTTTACTGTTAATCTTTGCATGAATAATTTTTTTGATTTTTAACATTATGAGCATTGTTTTTAAACATGAAGTAGTGCGTATTTTTGATACTAAATACGGTGGTTAATGTTAGGAATTATTTCATTTTTTAAATTTTTTTATATTCTATTTTAATTGAGATACAAATTTAAATTAAGAATTTATGATTTCATTATTGAAAATAAGTAAGAAACAAGCTAGTTTAACGGATATTTAAAACTGTTAATATTATTTAAACTAGGGACAAAGTACTGTAGTAAAAAGTAGTAACTTAGTGATAAGTGGTACTATAAGGTTATATAATAAAGGATGTTCAGTAAGCACTATCCTTAATGTTTTTAGAATCCTTGTCAAAAACGAATTAAAAGAAATATACGTTTTAGGGTTCGTTAATTAGTATTGAGACAAAGAAAAAACAAGAAATCTAATGAAATATGGTGAATTACTTTTGAAGCAGATGGCTTAAATGGATCAACAGATTAAATGTCATTTGAATTGCGAAAGTAATTTGAAGGTGTTTATAAGAAACCCTTTTCACAAGGAGCCGAACTATGGGCCGAAACGAATGTTGCCCCCTAAAATTATTCCTCTTAAGGCATACATCCCACTAGTTAATTTCAAAATTGGCGAGTCACACTTCCCTAGTCTCCCTTGTCAGTTTCTTCAAGAAATCGCACTGGCTTTGATATTTTATTTCTGTTATTCCTCAATCATGATTTGTCAAATAATGAAAGCAATTTTGTTTTTTCCTCTTCATAATATTAGTGTGCTATTTTTATACACGTAGTATTTTTAAACTTTATTGTTCAGAATGATTTTACATACCTATATACATTGAGGCCCAAGGTTAATGAACATTGTATATTAACTCAATGTATTTGAAGTAGGATCTGCAGTTAAATTTTTTTATTCTTAAAAGCAAAAATAGCTAAATGTCATTTTCAGAACTGAATGTCAATGTTTTTTTAACGTTTAAACCAGTCAGGACTAATTCTTATAAAGAAAACTCTAATTTAAAACAAAGATAAGTAGAAACAAAAGTTCAGATATTTAAATATTAATATCTGAACTATTAAAGGAATAAAAAACATAAGAAGAAAGATTATTTTTAAAATCTATTTCTCGACACTTGATTCCTTCTCTTTTCCAAATTTAATAGTTTTAAGATAAAAAACAAATACCCTTACTAAAAGCATGATTATGAAATGCAGTAAGGTTCCCGAAAATAGTATTACATTGCTGTTTATAAAATTTGCTATTAAATTAATGACCTAAAGCTTAGCATTATTTGCAGGCTCAAAGAAACCTTTATTTTTCAGAGAAATAAACAAATGACCAGAAGTTAATTTTCGGACTGATAATAATCTAAACAGTATCAAGTTACCATGAAAGTGAAACAGTTCTAGAGCCAAAGATTTTCAGAAGTAACCTTGACCAAAGATTTAAAGATACATAGAATTAAATACAAATTCTTACATCTCACATCTGAAATTACGCCCTTAACAATTTTCTTAGCTGACACCTTATCCTGGGCGCCAAGACACTTCCAGAAACGAGTCATTTCTTCGGAAAAGTAACGAAATTCCCTGGAGCATACTATCACGTGATGATCATAGTTACATATCTCGGTTTCATTCATCTTTCTGCGGATGGCATAAACGTAAATGAAAGGGAAGAAAAAAAATAAGCGTAAATTTACGCCATCAGGACGGGCAATGATCTACTTTCGACACTAATGAGGAAATTATAAGCTGTTCATTTTTTTTTTCTTTGAATCTATGTGCAGTTGAAACATAAATGAGAAGCTACTGAATTCATCTTGATTCCACTTTTAATCTATTTTAAACATCGAATAAAAAATTTAATTAGTTACATCAGAAGATTAAAAGCTTTTTTTTCTCTTAGAATCTGTGGGTAGTTAAAACATAAATGAGGAGCTACTAAGTTCATCTTGATTCCACTTTTAATCTATTTTAAGCATCAAAAGTAAAATTTAATTTGTCGCATTAGTAGATTAGAAGATTCTCTTTTTTTGTCTTAATAATTAGCAGTACTATCTTTCGTCTAAGCATTGACCTAGACTTAGTAATCTAGTTACTTACACGTATTTTAAATGAGTAATTAAATGATAAGTAAAAAAGTTGTGAAATGTACTCTACATTATCTACCAGATGAATTATTTTTCTCTAATTTTGAAGATCTAAATTTTGAAAAACTATTATTCCTGATAAGGGATACAGTATTTGCTGCAAGTTAAATGCATGGATTTACAAATGTCAGTTGCCGCTGCCCTAAAATATTGTAGCTAGTTTAAAAGATTTAACTGCTGCATTAATTCATTATTTTCAACTCCGTCACACTGGCTCCTAAAATTGGCCATTTCTCCCAAAACTTTTGCATTTTTTTAACCTTGTTAAAATTATTTATTAAAGTATTTATGAGTAGACAAAAATTTTTTTTAACGCGAACGTTTTTACACTGTGGTTTTCCTTGCTTTAACTCTCCTCCGTTTAACTTTTAAATGGTAAATATTTTGGTTGACATTGAAAAAAAAGCCAAGAAAAAAATCATACATTAAAACCATAAACTTACATTAAAACCATTAATCATACAATAAAAAGAAATTAGTGAACTTCTAATCTGTGATGCAATAACTTTTTCAGAGTTTTTAACAGCATCAGTATCAATAGGGATAATGCTAAAGAGGTAAAATAAATAATTGATTTTCAGGTAAATATTTGATAGCTATTGTAAATTTTGTCGCTGTTCATAGCTAAATTTATCCATATCGTCTTTCTCGATTGAAAATCTTTCAGATGAATAAAAATTCAGTTTAATAAAAATTTAAAAACATAATAATAAAATCTCTTACATCACTTAGAAAGTTGACCAGCTAAGTCTGTTTTATTTTAATATTATAGAGAGATCTCAAAAATTTCCGATACCTTAAATTTCTATCTTTTTGTCATGTTTCTTAATAACTTTACCGATTATGTTTAATACAAATATCGGTTAAAATGTGTTTTATTAAAGTTATTACAAACCTGGAAAACTTTAAGAAATTTCAGAAACAAAGTAGCTAAAAACGCATTGTTTATTTGAATAAAAAGAAAATAATTTTGGAAATTTTTCAAGTGAAAATATAGAATAAACAAAAAATCAACATTTTTGTACCCAGTTTACCCTACCAGATAAAGACGATTAATTATTATCTTCCGTAACTTGCAATTGTTTTACTGGTGGTTCTTTTTTTATCCTCCCGATTTTCTCTTAAAAAAAGCAAGTCCTTAAACATACATAGGAGAATACATGTTTGTACGATGAGAGTAATTAAACACTTCTCCTAATTGAGATTAAGATGTTTCTAAATTAAATTTTCGTTTCTACACAGTACATTCGTGACTAGTTAATTTGGCCGATCCATCAATTTCTGTCTTCAGGGTAAAAAAAAAAAGTTTTTTATAAACATTTAATAATATTTTATATGTTTTACACGAATTAAGCGTTTAATTCCCAAGTTTCATCAATCATTTATTGATATTAAATTTATCAATTAATCAAACTTAATCTAACACATTGACTTAATATCTAATCATTCCTACCAGTCTATTTATCACTATTTATTTCACAATTTTCAAGTAGAATAATTTATTAAAAAAAGTTTTTTTCATTAATTTTTTTTAATTAAATTTACTTAATTTTGTATAAACTTTACATACTGCTGAAAATACTTTATTATTTGATTTTTATTAAATGCTTCTTATTTTATTAGGTTATTGTTAGCTTAAAGTAAAACTTGGACGAATTTGAACTCAAACTAGAATGATATTGTTGTTTTTAACTTCAAATCACGAACTATATAACTTAAGGACGATCCATTCCGACGTCATCACGACGCTTTTCTAAAAGTTTCTCCTGGCCTAATTAACCGCATCGCCCTCCATCAGCGATTAGAGGAAACGGTTAGTTGATACAGAAGATTTGAATAGTCAACTTTTATAATTTAGTGTCTCTGTCGTTTTTTTTTTATTTCTGTAAGATTACATAAAGAATGGCTATATTTATAGCATTAGTTCCAAAATTAAACTTCTTTTGCTTCACTTCGGTAAATGTTACAAAATAAAGATAGGATTGCGTAAGTTTATGTTAGTGTTGTGAAGTTTCGTGTTAGTGTTTTATACTGTGCATTTGTGTGGAAACGTAAAATTTTCTAATCAGTTATTTCTATTATACGTAAATTTAACTTCTATTGTACGTACAAAGTGTTTCTGATAAGTTTTCATTTACTCCTGTTTATTTTATTCCGTCATATATTAAATTCTACTATAAACAGAAAAAATAAAAAAAATCTGCATTAAGACACATCAGAATTTATTCTACAGCTTAAGAGGAGTAATGATGCATGTCATTCTTGTAAATATGCATTTCATTAAACATTGAAACAAATTTATGAACAAGAAAAATGGTAAATTTCAAATGCTTAAAATAAATTATAATTTACTTTGCATGATATAATTTCGTCTTCATTATATCATAACATCCTTCAAGAATCAGCATCAGAATTTCATAGAACTAAAATAAAGTAAATAACCAAACGATTACGAAGAACTTCATAAATTCAATTAAAACGATACGATTAAAAGAAAACGATTATCTCATCTATTAGTTAAGTTTTTTGCCGTATTGTGGTGTTAGAAAACTGTTTGGGCCAGTGTTGCCATTTTGCCGCGTATTAATTAAAAACAAAAAAGAAGAAAAGAGGAAGGAAAAAACGCTAACACTATGCAATCAGTGGACAATAAAACTAAATTACATCAGTCGATGTCGATGAAGAAATTTAAATTATATGAACTTTATTAATTTTCAGCTAGTTTTTATTTGAAGTTGAATCTAACAGTAATTTTTCTGCTTTTATTTGAAATTCCAAGTTTTAAGCAAAGAATAGTAAAGTTAAGTATACTATGATAAAAGAACAAATTCATTTACATGACTGACAAATGTTTATTAATCATTTTTATATTTTTAAACATTGTAAACTGATTGAAACTCCAAATAGCAATGAATGAATCTTCAATTTATTAAAAAATTTCCATCCAAACTACAGTTCCTGATATCTAACTTTTAGTTAGAAGTTAAAAAGCAGTAGCTCTAATCCAAACTAACTTTGAATTTCTGAAACTGGTTATAACTCAGATTTTAAGCATTTAAATAATTTAAAATATATCAATGTTAAAGTCACTACAGTTATTTTAAGTAAGAAATCTCAGAATTAAAACTCAAATGAATATATTCCACGTATATTACTATCGCTTTTATTATGATCAAGATTACAGAAAGTTGATAGAAATTTAAAATCGAGTTTGGAATACAGATTTTTTTTAAAATGTCGAAATTGGATTTGCGTTTAATTGTATTTACCTTAACAAATATAATTAAAAAAAACAGCTTTCAAATATTGTTTAATAAAAATATTTTTAAATATTTTAATAATTTTAAAAGTTATTAGATAAAAAATGCGAAGATATAAATGTTATATAAAAATTATTTATGGGTATATATTTAATTATTTATATCTCCTATGCAATGTTCCAAAATTTTTGGATGAAATAAATAGAATGTTAATTTTAATAATATATGTGGCTGTTAGTATGAATTATTTATTCATTAAATAGATTCTAACTGAAATATGAAGTTTTTTTTCTTAAAAAAAGACAAAATTTTTATACAGTTGTAATTTTTATATATTATTTTATAGACTGTAAAAAAAACAATGTTTTTACAACAAGTTAAAAATGGGTTATTTCTATTAGCGGACATTTTATGTACTTATGAGTTGGTTTTTCTGGTAAACTACTAAAAAAAAGACATTACTTAAATATTGTCATACTTACCTAAACAATGTTAAAATTATGTATCATAAAAGTTTTAATAAAAATGTTAAAGCATCGCAAGAAAATTTCAATTTTCCTTAATGAAATTTTTTAAAAACTTTTATTTTTGTGTAAAAAACAATGTTGTTTGGGAATAAAAAATTAAATGAGGAAAAATGAAATTAAAATGAAAAATAGTTACTTCAAATAATGGACATTTCAAGGATAAGTTCGCTTTAAGCTTGATAAAAATACAAAAAAAAAGTAAGCTACATAAATATTGTCATATTTTCCCACGCAATATTATGATAATGTATCATAAAAATTTTCATAACGGAGTCATCGCACGCTGAGCAAAAAATGTATCTGGCTATTAAGAATAAGTGTTGGACGATGACTAAAAGCTAGCAATGCTTTTTATTCACCATTTTTTTCCTTCTTTTACTCTATTTTTGACACCATGCTTTGTGTGTGAAACCAAAGGGTAGATTACATTTGTTGAAAATTGTGTTCTCCGGTCGATAAGACATTTTTAAAAATGGCTGCTATTGACCTATCCTTTCTACGATATCTTGCAAGTGACATTTTTATGGGTATGGATATTATGATGATGTTCTCAAGGAATGCGGTATTCATTCTTTTATTCCTTTCAGAATTATATTTGTTTCCTTTAAGTCATGTGCTTTTTATTTGATGATTTAATTATTCGAACTTGTAAAGCTTTACATTTGCAACATAAATTAGTGAATATTTTTTTATGAGAAAACTTTTGGACTAGGAAGCGGGTAAGTTTGCAAAAAATGGAGATTGATCTTTTTAATATTTTCTCTCAATAAATGAATGATAATGAATAAAGGGTACACTTTGTACTTCATAAGAATAAATCAATATAACGGGAACAAAGCACAAATAAAAGCACAACAATACTATAGTTTCAGTTCTGTAAGCAATAACCTTCCTCGGTGTCGAAGCACCAAAAAAAAACTGATGTTGAAACAACAACGAACACAATAAAATTCGTAGAGGAACTAATGGGAATTGGTTTTTGCATCTTGCACCCTGGGTTCCCTATCCAACTCCTTCAAGCCTGCTTCTCGAATTCCCTTTTTTATTACCTAGTTCAAGCTTGGTTCTCTTCTCCTATAGGTTAAGCCTTTTTGTTTTCCTTACTGCAACGTGTTTGTCTTGTTACTTTCTCCTGTCATTTAATGTTTAACACCGAGGAAAATTCTTGTTTATGGAAATGAAACAATTTTCTATTTTTGTACATTTATGTATCTTTTGTTTACTTTGTTTTGCTTTACTCAAATGAATGCAACATCGAGAGTTTAATACAGAATTATTGAACTAGGAGCAGCATATGCAGCAACGTTTTTTTTATCCTGAAGAGTTGTTTTAAGAACAGTTTAATAACAATTACATGAATAGTTAGCTCATATATACTTCATAAATCAGTTCTTTGAATTTTCCATTGTGTTCCATTTTCATTCAACATGAAGTTGTTCCATTTTCTTCATAATTTCCTATTCAGTTCATTAATTAACTCTTTTGAGTTGCATGAATTATTTTAATCAAGGATTCATAAAAACTTTTCGTAGTTTTCGGAAGAAAATTTATCAGGCTTCGTTGCAGAACTTCATATTGAGTTATTCAAAAGATATAACAAGGTTAAAGCAGTGACAATACACTCTCATTTTATGAAATATGAAAGACGTTTAACTACAGATTTTTTAAAACTTGAGTTTTTGATGTTATAAGTAGAATAAAACAATGAATAAAATATACCATTTAGTCACGATAAATGGAAAATAAAAGCCAATTTTTCTCTGTCTTAAAAAGTTCTGCTTGTATTTGTCTCGAAGAAAAATACAAAGGAATTGGATGCGTGCAACTTGGACTTTTTTATTTCCTGTACCTACAAAACTAATAAAAGCAAGATTTCAATTAAACCAACGATTTATTTGGGCTTATTTTGCTCCTACAAAAATATTAAAGAATTTGACATATCATTATTTTTTATGTCTTATCAAGGTTTTTTTTTGAAATTGTGTTAATGACTATGAAGTATTAAGAAAATTGATAGAGATAATGTACTAACTTATAGATGGTTTAGAATTTTATTGAATATATTATCTATGCTTCTTGAAGAGTTAGATTTAAAAAAAAATACACTAAATTAATAAAAATAAATTTTATGTAAGTATAAGTTAGAATCGATTTCTTATTTCAACTGTCTTTTGTCTTTTCTTTTATAAAATCAGATATCCTATTCTTGTAGAAAAAAAAATATTAAATTGATTTTTAATATTTTCTCCTAGGAAATAGTAACTTTACCATTTTTATAAAAAACACTTCTTTACATCGAGAATATTGAAAGCGAATATGATCACATTGCAAATATTGAAATATCTCCAATTATTCGTAATTTAAGTTATAACTGTTATTATTATAAACTATTAAATGTAATTGCAATGATGTTTATATTGAAATTAAAAAATATATAAAAGTGACTCTAACTTTTCAGATGATATCAACAGAATGCGAATCTTCTACATTTTGGATCCTAAAAGCAACGCTACAAGTGACATATTTCACTTTAAAGTTCAAGACAAAGGTAAGAGGATGTCAAACCAAACTTTATTAGACATGAAAAAAATATTTTTACCAACAATTAAAGAATTATTAATAATAAAAATTGAAACGATATCCTATTATTTCTATATTGCTCTCATTGTATCTATTTATCTACTTTTTAAAACTCGGATATTCTGGACAACTCCAAGGAGAACTTATCTAAATTTTTGGTAAGCAATTATTAAATCAATTGCAAAAGCAAGTTCTCTTATTCTATTCACCTTCTGAGAGATCTCATTAATTCTATCCACCAATAATCATGAAATCACTAAAGTATTTTCCCTCATTTTGTTCACCTCTTATAACGACTTTTCCTTTCATCCTATATCATTTAAGAAGCATTTTAATAAATAAGTCCCTCCTCGCATTATCTTAATCCGTGGATAAATTCTGATTATTGGGTAATCATGAAGTACTGACTCTACTTCGATAATCATCAAGTATCGATCCTTGGATAATCTCCTTCAGATCGATTTCGGTTATTGAAGAATAGATAATAAAATAAGCATTTCCCTTATTCCGTGTTCGTAAGCTTCCAATTGAGGAAATCAAAAAATACTTAGCATTCATTTAAAATGTTTGCGTAACGATACTCGAATTCTTTGAGTGGAATTTTCAAAGGTTACCCTCCAACGCCCAATGCACTTCGATCATTCTTCTACTCCAAAAAATCTCATAGACAGACACTTAGATCGTTCTTCCTCTGAGAATTTCGGAATAAAAACACTTGGAATGAGTGAATTAGTTAAATAACTAAAACTAAAATAGTAGTTAAATAAAACTAAAATATTCTATAAATCTCAATTTTTTTTCTTCAAAGTTCTTTATTTTCACCTTAACTTTAATTTTCTTGTTCGATATCATGTTTTCATACTATAAAAATACTCGAATATAAAATTATTTGTTAAAGATATTTTTTTTTCGAATACTGAATAATCACCTTTGTTAAACTAGTGCTTTCAAATTATAAAATATTTGTTAAACCTGCTCTTATGTTCAATTTTTTGTACTTTTCAAACATTATAACCCATTGAATTTTCTTTCTCAATTCTTGTAGAAAATAGATTTTTTTTAAAAATTAACCTATTTATTTTCATATATGTGTAATAGGACGCATGACCTATTTTAGATAGGCAATATAACTTCGAAATACTTTTTTTTTTAATTTTCCTGTTTAAAGGGATTTTGTTTGTTTCTTTTTCTTTTAAAAAAACCAAAATTGAAATATTGATTTTAGAAAACAAGAAAGAAAGTTTTTATTTAATATGCATTGAAAATGTGAAATTTTAGTATTGAAATTTAATAAAAAGAAACTGATCAAGATACTGACACGATTTCGTATCCGGTCGGTAAAGATATTAGAGCTCTTTATGGTATGTAGACTCTAGAACTGTGTTTAAACAAGACTTTCATTGATGCCAACTTAATTATTAAAAAAAAAAAGGGTATGAAACACAGTGTAGCCTCAAGTCAATCCATCATCTAAAAAGGATATAGTTTTCTTTTAATTTGTATGTGGACATTTTTATGAAGAAGGATTAAATGAATATGCAAATTAAAAAAAGATGGTGTAACTCTTTATTATGTGCAACTGAACTTGTTTTAGATTGTAATTAGCCTATTTCGTTAATAGAGCATATGAAATGATAAAAGAATAGCATTACGTAAAAAATTAAACGTTGAACGCGTAAGACTCTCTCTATATTAAAAAATCGTGAAGGCCGCTGACGCCGCTGCTGTTTTATTGTGTTCAACTTAATGTTACATTTTGTATTTCCGTGCAAAAAATTTAAGACTTAGAGACTTGAAATTACTAATGCGCGTAGAAAAGTGTACACGAATTACTATGGTTTATAAATATTTAACTGTTATTAATTTGTTCGAGAATTATTAACTGTCAAACTTGTTGGAAAAAAAATAATACGGTCCATAAGTGCAACCACAGAGTTTGAAAATGCTGAATAGGCCACATTTGTAATGCAAAAAAGATCACATTTATTAATGAGCTTACGACAGAGGCTTTTTTCAAAATTCCAATTTGTTCGAAAATTACTGCAATTTTGAGTACTTATTAAAAATTTTTTTGCTTTACGTTGCATTTTGCTTTACAGTTCAAAATCTATGGGCTTAAAAATCAAAAATTACGAAGGTGTTTAGAAAAATGTAAAAGAAGTACTATGGAATAAGAAGAATCAGATGCGACAATTAGTTCGAGAATCATTAATTGTTGAACTTGTAATTAAAAAAAACTAAGATGGATCTACTGTAAGCTGAAATGCATCCACATAATTTCTATTATTATTTTAGTGACAGTTTTTCTCAAAATTCTTATTTGCTCGAAAGTTATTTAAAATTTAAGTACTTTTTCCTTATTTTTTTTTGAGGTTTTGCCTTTAAATATTAAATATTTATCCATTCTTGTAGAAAATTTACTTTTCCTGACGAGATCTTTACACATCTACGATCTTTCTACGTCATAGCTAAATTTTTAAATCCATGTATAAAACGATCGTTATCTCTGAAAATTGTATTTCCACAGAGCCCGTTAAAAGTGCATTGGTTGAAGTAAATATTTCTCCTTGAAAGTTTCAATGAGAAAATCCTTAGAATATAATTTTTTTTATATCAAATGACGAATTAAAGTAACATGGAATTTCGATGTTTTAAACGATGAATATATCTTCATAACGTTTAAAACACCTTTTTTTAAATAATACTTTTGACTAAAATGACATCTAAACAAGATATAACATTTTTTAAATTTCCGTAGAATATACTTAACATTTCCGTAGAATATATTTAACCGTATGATATTTAAAGCTTTAAAAAATAATAATTTTCTTAAAAAGCAATATAAAGTAATAAATGAATATGTAGAAAATTTCGTTCCAAAACTATATTTTTGTCTTTCTTTTTTTTTAAATGTTAAAATTAANATATGTGTAATAGGACGCATGACCTATTTTAGATAGGCAATATAACTTCGAAATACTTTTTTTTTTAATTTTCCTGTTTAAAGGGATTTTGTTTGTTTCTTTTTCTTTTAAAAAAACCAAAATTGAAATATTGATTTTAGAAAACAAGAAAGAAAGTTTTTATTTAATATGCATTGAAAATGTGAAATTTTAGTATTGAAATTTAATAAAAAGAAACTGATCAAGATACTGACACGATTTCGTATCCGGTCGGTAAAGATATTAGAGCTCTTTATGGTATGTAGACTCTAGAACTGTGTTTAAACAAGACTTTCATTGATGCCAACTTAATTATTAAAAAAAAAAAGGGTATGAAACACAGTGTAGCCTCAAGTCAATCCATCATCTAAAAAGGATATAGTTTTCTTTTAAATTGTATGTGGACATTTTTATGAAGAAGGATTAAATGAATATGCAAATTAAAAAAAGATGGTGTAACTCTTTATTATGTGCAACTGAACTTGTTTTAGATTGTAATTAGCCTATTTCGTTAATAGAGCATATGAAATGATAAAAGAATAGCATTACGTAAAAAATTAAACGTTGAACGCGTAAGACTCTCTCTATATTAAAAAATCGTGAAGGCCGCTGACGCCGCTGCTGTTTTATTGTGTTCAACTTAATGTTACATTTTGTATTTCCGTGCAAACAATTTAAGACTTAGAGACTTGAAATTACTAATGCGCGTAGAAAAGTGTACGCGAATTACTATGGTTTATAAATATTTAGCTGTTATTAATTTGCTAGAGAATTATTAACTGTCAAACTTGTTGGAAAAAATATAATATGGTCCATAAGTGCAACCACAGAGTTTGAAAATGCTGAATAGGCCACATTTGTAATGTAAAAAGGGTCACATTTATTAATGAGCTTAAGACAGAGGTTTTTTTCTAAATTTCAATTTGTTCGAAAATTACTTCAATTTTGAGTACTTATTAAATTTCTTTTTGCTTCACGTTGCATTTTTCTTTACTGTTCAAAATCTATGAGCTTAAAAATCAAAAATTACGAAGGTGTTTTGAAAAATGTAAAAGAAGTACTAGGGAATAAAAGAAAATTTGATTCGACAATTAGTTCGAGAATCATTAATTGTTGAACTTGTAATTTAAAAAAAAACTATGATTGATCTACTGTGAGCTGAAATGCATCGATATAATTTCTATTATTATTTTAGTGAGAGTTTTGCTCAAAATTCTTATTTGTTCGAAAGTTATTTAAAATGTAAGTACTTTTTCCTTATTTTTTTTCAGGTTTTGCCTTTAAATATTAAATATTTATTTATTCTTGTAGAAAGTTTACTTCTCCTGACGAGATCTTTACACATCTACGATCTTTCTACGTCTATAGCCAAAGTTTTAAATCCATTAATAATACGATCGTTATCTCTGAAAATTGTGTTTCCTCAGAACTCGTTAAAAGTACATTGGTTGAAGTAAATATTTCTCTCTGAAAGTTTCAATGAGAAAATCCTTAGAAAGTTATTATTTTTTATATCAAATGATGAATTAAAGTAATATGGAATGTCGATATTTTAAACGATGAATATATCTTCATTATTTTTAAAACACATTTTTTTTAAATAATACTTTTGACTAAAATGACATCTAAACAAGGTACAGCATTTTTTAAATTGAATTTCCGTAGAATATATTTAATCATATGATATTTAAAGCTTTAAAAAATAATAATTTTTTCAAAAAGCAATTTAAAGTTATAAATGAATATGTAGAAAATTTCTATCCAAAACTATGTTTTTATCTTTCTTTTTTTATAAAGGTTAAAATTCTAATTCTAATATAAACCATTATTCTAAAATTCTAATATAAACCATTAATTTTTTTTTTTAAAGTATAAATTTAAAATTGTTTTGTCTAAATTATTATGGTAATCTTAATTTCAAACGTTTTATAAACTATTTTATAACTACTAATGTCTTCAACTAATTTTAAAAATATCAATAATTCCAAAATAATCAAGCATTTTCCTTAAAGTCTTACTCTAATAG